ATCTTCTTGCTGTGGAATTGATTGCACTATTAGCGCTTGAAAGTTCAGAACTATGTGGTTGGTTCGTTCATTTGTTGTTGCTATACGCAGTTTGTATAAAAATGGCTGGTTTTGCGTTGGCGACTGATGAGAGTTACTCGAAATGTTAACATCTCGTGATATATGTCTTCTCTCTGTTTTGACTAAGTAGTTCAGAAAACTTGAATTTTTCGCACAACATTTATTCAATTTGATTTTAAAAGACAGTCCGTTACACAAATTGATGGTATCACGATAGACAGCCTATTAGATCCAAAGCTAGAGGATTTGTTTTTAGCCGTGATTGAAATGCAACTGTCGGATGGTATTGATAGTAGAAGTTTCTATAGGCGATATGTGGGTGACTTCAGTTTTCACCAATAATATTTGTTTTTTCCACACAGTATGATCCTTTCAGTTCTGTTGATCAAAATCTTACTGTTTCTCACACGGTAGAATCGGAACAGAGTTGACCTTTTCTAGATATCTTAGTTATGAGACAACAGGATGGTGTGGTTCAACATTCAATGCACCACAGGGTCAGTTGGAGCCGACAGTACTTGCAATCATAATTGCCTGCGCCGACTTCGTAAAAGAGGCCCAGTACGAACCCCGTTCCGCAGAGGCTCGTATATATGCATGGATGGTTTTTTACCAGAAAGGAAGAATATATTGTGAAAGGTCTTGGATGCAAACTAATATCCGGTAAAGTATACCGACATTCATGACAAGTGGAGGGCGATCAGGACTGACATGTGTACAGTTTCCAAGAAGCAGTGATTGTTGAATCTGTCTTCCAAAGTTGACCATACGATAACCGGCATAAGTCAAAAATTGCAGCCTACTTTGGCTCACTCACACTATGCAGCTGCACTACGATTACTACTCTCATCTCAAAGTGTTACTAAGTTTACTCACAATCGTATCTTACCGAACTGCTCTGTTCTTCAAATTATGCAGCACTTTACTTGTAGATGAAGTGATGTCTATATCGGAGGAAGAGATCAGTGCTTACGACCAAGAATAGATTAACGTGTTTGGTGTGCGTGACGACTCAGCGGACAATGTCAGCCAAGTGTATAAACAAATACTTGACCTCATCTGTTGCAAGACCCATCCTGGAAGGTGATCACGCCGTTTACCCGGCCAACTCATGCCACGTGTTATTTCGTAATCTGAATTTAAGATCATTTGCGTTTTCCGAGATGATGCTTTTCAGTAATGTCATTAACTCATGCATGTACAAGAACTGTTGAATCAGACAGTTTGTCTGCTTTGGAGTTGATAACAGTCACTCGTCTATTGTGAAGCTAGGATGTTTGACGTTTCGCTGGTTGTGGCCTGCATGTTATATGAAAATGTTACATTTACGAGTGATAAGAGTAAATAGTATACGGAAATCGCGTGGCGTGTTCTTTCGTTGTTCATGAATTGGAACTCAATGTTTTAAATAATACGATTGTTTAGAAATCAGAAGGATCGTACACAACTTTGGTTTGGAGTATATTTAGATCTTCAAGTTGACTACTACTGTCCCATCAGTGACCGAAGTATCATTAGGTCCTGAGTAATTTTCTTCCGCCCACAGAATTCTGGAGTTTTTAGTCAAGCATCGATCGCGTCTGTGGCAGACGGAATTGAACTGTAAGATGGGCTGGAAACTCAAGTCCGGTGAAGACTGGATCTGACTGAGAGAAATGTGAAGTCCATTCCGAATGCATTTGGAACGTAATCTGTTTACTCCGTTTACACACGAGTGTGTTATGTAGGAGAGGTTTCTGAATTAATTAACAGCCCCCTTCTAGAAGTCTTTCATCTTCTTTTACTCAATACAACGCGAGCTACCACAACTGCATTAAACATAAGGTTGGTTGCTACTAAACGGATTTCAACTTCATCCATTGTTCAATAGTGCCCATGACATTGATTTTGGCAACATCTATCAAAAGGAAGGAAGTTAAAGTAGAATAATGTAACGGTGATAATAATTTTGGAAGGAGATCCAAACGTGAAAAATCCCACCTTTGGCTGTATTCGAACCGGCGACAAAAAAGTAATGCCACGTTAAGGCAAGTTCTTTACTGTGATGGATAACCAGGTGGGAGAGATGATTATTCGGACCCTCAGTAAACCATCTCAACGCCGCGGTAACATGTTCACAACTCAGCAGCAGAGAGCTTGAACAGAAAGGAATGATAGGTGAACTCTGCGACAGATTAGGCTAGTCAGTCGCGTGAAACTAATCAGGAGTACATACGTCTTTTTAATGGAAGCCTGGTTGCGTTGTAAGCTGATATTTTCGTTTACAAACGGGAGCGTACGATTGGCGTGGAAACATGGCTATTGGATAATAAAGATCTTACTTTACTAAACTACTTTCCTGTACATTGGTGTAGTGAACTGAACACAGCAATGAAACTGCCATGACCGTGTTCATTCGCAGGTGGGGATGTAGAAGAGATACTATCGGAATTTAAATTGATTGAAACGTGTAACAGATTGAAAGTTGATGCACAACTTTCGACAACGCTTGGGACACTGCCCACCGGAAACGTAAAGGCAGCCTAAGACTTTAGTAAACAGTCAAATGCCGCAGCCGGGGATCAGAAAACCGATATGGAGTTGATCCAGCATGTTTACTAAAGAACAAGTTGAATCTATATAAAGAACAAGTCTAACAGCAAACA